ACAATGCTCTTTTTGTTTGCTTATGTTTCAGCGGAGCTCTACTTGCATGTCACCCTCACATTCATTCTGAGATTTGCATGATCTCCCCATTTTCCTTTGTCAAGCATATTTATGGTACATAGAATCCTGCTTCAGTGCCTATATGATTACCAGCACATAATTCTTACGAACCCAGCCAAATTCCATGAATGAGATCGCTCTCCCTCATTTGAAGTTCCGAACATGTCCGTTGAGGTTAACATTGTACATATATCAAAATGCAAATGGATATTTACCATGACAAGGCCAATATTGACAGTCATCAACGGCCTCATCAGACAATCGAAATCCCACAGCACTTAATGCGCGCACTATCAATGTAGGCTTTGCGACCCCACCATGACTGCACCAATTCCTCCACAAAGACACGGTCGGAAGCGCTCCACACATCGAGGCCCATCTCCGTCATATCCTCGGAGGTGATAGTCACCGGCTCGTCATCCTCAGGTGAAAATTTGGCGGCAGATGGCAGCAAGGGCCGTCTCGAGTCGTCTCCTTGCGAATCTTCCCTGCCAACGGAAATGGAGGGTTCGGCGTCCGCTTCCTCCGGTTCATCCTCGTACGGGGCGCCTATATCCTCATCCTGTTCTCCGTTTCTGCTATCCTGACGGGCAATCACGTCCGACAACGTAACGAAGAGCTGGGTCGTCAGGCGACGGAAGTAGGCGACCAGTGCGATTTCGGGAGGTTGCGAAGCATCCTCCGCTTGCATCGAATGGCGGCCAAGAGATCCCGAGGATGGCGTCGGCATGGCTTCCACGCTGGCTAGGAGCCGCGTGTCTCGCTCAATTTGGTTTTCTTCTTCCTCTTCTTCCGTAAGTCCGTCCCGCTTCTCGCCTGCGGATGCCCACCAGATGAAGGATGTGTAGGCTAGACGTGTCCATGACAGGGGCTCGACGACCGGGCTAGATGAGTATGTAGACGCAGCATCGGAGTCCTCGTCTTCGCCAGATGCAGTGTCATCGTAGGAGACGTGGCGTAAGCCCTTACGGAGGATGGTGTAGCGTCGCGCATCGCGCTGTGTGGCTTTCAGGTAGATTGCTTGAGATGAGTTATGCTGCGCGCTTCGGTTAGGCAAGACGGAGATTTTAGGGAAGACTTTCTGGGCTGCGTTGCTGGCATGTGGCGGAGGCAGAGTAACCAGGACGTCGAAGAGCTCGCTTTTCATGCTCAGCACACTGTCTGTGCTGCAGGCTATCCAAGCCGCATCGGGCTCAGTCTTCGCAGAGACGTTCACGAATGACGAAAGGTAGGGTATATCGTGGATGCCGATATTGAACAGTGGGCGAGGTCGGGGAGGAAGTGAACCGCCAGGTGGAAGCAGTGGTAGAAGGTAATTTGGTAGCGATGCTAACAACGATAAATCATATACTGTGTTGGTTAGCAAGGACTGCTGAAGACATGCGGGGAACAAGGGGGGCGGATCCATTTACCATAGTTACAGGGTATATGGACCGGCGCCTCGGCCATGAAAAGAATACGCTTGCGTAATAATGCTGCTCTGTACAATGGGAATATCAAAGGTCCGAAAGAGTCAAGAAATTCGGGAAGTGACGACGCTGGATGGAAAGGCGTTAGGGCCGGCCTGGACGCTTCCAGTACTATTGCGTCGCTGAATGCGCGATTACGCTGTAAGCTGTCCGGTCGCTCTCTGAACCGGAGGCCGACAGGTGATTCCAAAGGAGAATCAGCAGATATGGTCGATGCATCGTTCACGCGTATCTCAAAGTTATCCCAATAGTCCGACAAAGGTTGAGTGTTTGTCATATCCTTGGCATAGGTCCTGCATCAAGCAAGTCAGACGGTACTTCGAGCCATGAGAGATCTCACCCACTCTGCCAATTCCTTTAGCCTTGGAGCGTGCCTCCAACTCTTCCCGAGTCTACCAAAACTCAGGGGGACCAGAACCCCCACGGCAAACATCTGCGCATTGCGCTCTGCTTCATCCGCGGGTTGGTTGACGAACGAACTGATACCGGCATACTGTTCATGGACGAAATATCTAGGCAATGACAATCGTTAGCATACGGAAGGAGATTAATCGGGTCGCCAGCGTACACTAGATCCTCGGAGACATTATGAAGACCCGATGGAAGCGATTTGTATTCGACGACTCCTTCTATATCGACTGCAGGCCCGGATACGTCAGCTTCAGTGGCTCCCATATCTCGATGATAACTGTCACTTACCTCCAGGAATGGTACGTTTCCACGAAATGACGTATCTAGATCATGATTCGTAGTCAGTCGCCGTAGGCCACATATTTGCAAGCTGATGGTAAAGCTCACCCAGCCTTAATATCGAAGCGGATGACGAATAGCGCCGCAATACCAGGCGGCGAGTCAGGAGTAGGGTTTCGGGGTACATCGAGCCCCAGAGGCTTTCTCCTAAAAGGACCAGGAGCCATTGGAACAATGCGCTTTGATCAAGGAGCTTCCAGGCTCCATGAAGTGATTGAAAGGACTGACAAATTATAGTGGTGATGATGGAGGATAATCGCGATCCGAGAACAGAGTGGGCACCCTGTTACGTTGCGGAGAAACCCGAGGAGGTGTTGCTGCCTGAGGAATTAAGGCTAGCCATGTTGAGTAAGTGGGGAGCATCCACCAGTTGTTTATCTGGTGGAACTGGTATATCTAGTTAGATGTTATGAAAGAGCTCGCCATCTAGGATCATACTGTTTCTTCAGGGATTTTCAAAGCCAGGTTGTGATTTTTGGCGGCTGTTTGATCATAGGTTGCGAATGAACATGAAGTGAATATACAAAACCAGAGTTGCCAGAATATCCATCCTGGCTTTCAAGCTCTCACAGAAGACAAGGTCAATTTTCTTCTTCGCGCATTGACTCTTCTGCAATTATGAGTAGTCAAGTCTCTTCTCATCCTTATTATCCTTTGGATGCGCATATTAAGGAATATGCTCCCAATGAGACTTCAATCCAACGCCTTCTCGCTACCTCCAGTATCGCAACCTCAGTCATTCTAGGAGGGACTTTGACTTGGGTCAGCTTCTTACGACCAAGTCTGCCAAAGGCAGACCGGCTTGCTATTCTGTGGTTTATTCTCTGTAAGGTCCCTACTTCTAACCCATGCATATAATTGAACAGTGGCCTTCTAACCGCTCAAGCAGCTGGGACAATACATTGCTTTTTTGAAGGCTACTTCATAATCCACCATGACCACATGGCTTCTGCGCAGGACTTTCTCGGTCAGTTGTGGAAGGAATATTCGCTATCTGACTCGAGATATATGACTTCGGACACGTTGGTTCTGTGCATGGAGACGATGACAGTGGTACGTGCCATGATACAGACAAGGCTCTCTGATTCAGGACGACTGACCATGGTTGACAGCTCATCTGGGGTCCTCTGTGCTTCTTCGTAGCATACCTAATCCTCAACCAACATTCACTCCGTCATCCACTGCAGCTGATTGTCTGCATGAGCCATCTGTACGGTGATACATTGTACTATGCCACCAGCTTATACGATCACTATGCCCATGGACGGTCTTACTGTCGACCTGAAGCGTACTACTTTTGGATCTACTACTTTCTCATGAACTTCATCTGGATTGTTATCCCCTTCTGTAAGTTCCAAGCCCTGGGCGTTGAGGCCGATACATGCTCATATCCGTCACAGATTATCTTTCTCAGAGTATCAAGGCGATCTCCAATGCCTTCGAAGCTCTGCAGCGAATATCTGCAGATGAAAAGGCTCGATAACGTTCGAGATCGCTCGCCCCCAGCCAACGGCTTTCTCGGAATCATCGTTGCGCAAACGGAACTCCTGTTGGAGCATATGACTACATCTGGATACTGACTTGATTGGAATATGGATTGATGTAAATCAATGCGATCCGATGTGCCTGACGAGGTTATTGAGATCAAGCCCGTCCGACCCACTTGGTGACGCGTGGACAGCTGCCTCGCTAGACATTGTCAAGTAGCAAGTAATAATTGTATGAGAGAGTGGATGTACTATGCTGTCATGATTTGATTGCCGCCAATTACTCTAGATAATAATACAGAAATTAAAGTCTATGGATGAATGTGTTCCTAAGGATGGTTCAAACCATCGGTTGGGCTCCGACTTAGGTGTGGATATACACAACCACGATTGATAATAACACCAGAAACAAGTGGAACAACTGGAACTCGACGATTCCTTCATATGTGCCTAACGAGTCCAGCTAATTGGAGTGCGAGATTAAAAGACGACTGCTAGACAAGATGATGATTTAGTTTATCTAGTAGATACTCCGTACCACTTCACCTTGGTATGGTTGGTTAGAAGTTAGCGCTGATCCTGCACGTTTCCCGGGCAGCATCAGTAGGTCCCTTACTGAGATATGCCACACACGGAAAGCTCTGGATCGGTCGAATTCCAGAGAAGATCATTCCTTTGGACTCGTGCAAAATCGCTGTCATCCAAGGTCAGTCGATCTCTCAAATCATATCAACATCAATTGTTCTTGTGAGTAGAGAGGTACTCCTAGGAAAATACCATTCCCCGGCTGACCATCGTCACTTGGACCCAGCCGGCAGCGGACTAGCTAACAAGTCTCTCTACAGTTGTCTGCTGCCCCCATCATTTGACCGCCTGTTTACAGTGGTCTTTTATTCAAAACTCTTTATTTATTCTTCATTTCTCTGTTTGTTCTGTGTGTTCAAATTTCCGCAACTAGTTGAGATCCCAATCCTGTAATGCTTTTGCGCAAGCTGTGAGTGAGTGATCCCCCCTCTCTTCCCGTGATAAACAAACAAGCGGCCCGCGTGACGTCGTTGGTCGCTGCTGGTTCTCAGCCAATACGGAAAAATCAAAACATTCTTTCGCCCCAGCTTTCGACATCGAATCGTCTCATTAGGCTTCCAGAACTTCGTGGCAGCAATTTTATGTCTCGGATACCTGCTTCTATCTGCAGAAATATGCTAATCATCAGCATTCACCATAGCAGACATCGATGCCGTCGACGCCCGCCACTCCGCATCGCCCCTCCAACCGTGGGGGAAGCGCCAAATCTTCCCCAACGAAATCTAAACCTCTAGATATTGGAGTGCCCCTGGGAGTATATGACACCAATTCTGTGCGGGAGAAGGTCCGTAAGTGGCAGCAGCAGGGAGGCGGGGTCATCACTGCCACCGACGTTGTTTACTACGAGGACGACAATGAAAATTCGACGAGCGAAGCGAAATCCAAGCCCGTTAAGGGTGCTACGAGGAAGCGCAGCAACAGCACTCCCAGAAAACGCCTGATCAGCGATGAGCATTGGAAGTTGAACCGGACTTCTACTCAAACCCCAACGCCGAAAGTATCGCCCCCGAAGCGTATTTCCCAGTATACAGTCAACGATCCGTTACCATCTCCTAGACTGGGGCGAAAGGAAGGTCGGAAAGATGGAGAAGAGCGATCGGCGCCATCCTCACGCAGCCGCGACAGGGACAGAGCTGGAGGCGCATCTGACTCGACTATCAAGGAGCGTAGGAAATCTCGAGCTTCTCGAGATGTGGATTCGGCGACCGAGTGCAAGACTGAGGACGAGGTGCAACAGAAGGGGTCTTCGAAGTCTACGTCGCGGCCAGGGACGGCAAATCGCTCTCAGTGTGGAGACGCTTTAGAGCCGCTGGAAAGTTCCAAGAAAAAGGGAGAAGTGACTGAGGACGATACGGATTGGGCAGCAAGTGAAGCGGATTTCTCGGAACTCTCCAGAAGGCGGGCACGAGGCCCTGGCCCTAAGACTCCGCCCAAGTCTCGCGCTCCACTCAAGCCGCCTAAGGGAGGTATATTCGGGCATATTCTGGATGAGTCGCGCAAAATGTTCGTGCGACCGGAGCCTCCCAAGCCGGCTCCTACTAGGGGCTCCAAAATTGAGGCCTGGCTCTCCAGTACTTCTGATCCGTTCCTGGAAGACATGGATCCCGATGTGGAAGTTCCTGCACCCTTGAACACTAGGACGAACCGAGGGAAACCATCGCATAAGCGGGAAGACAAACATGACCGCAATGCAGATTCTGGACCGTCTCCTGAGAGCGAGAGTCGTCGAAAGACCAGACGACATGGGCGAAGTAGAGAAGGCTCAGCCGCCAGTGAGAGCAAGAAATCCGAGGAGAGGAAAGCTTCCTCGAAACAGCTGAGAGATGACTCTTCTCCTACCCACAGGAAGAAGTCCAGCGAACACAAGCATAGCAGGTCATCATCAGTTGCAAAGCCGGCTACCGCCCGCGATGCAGATCTGAGGGCAGATGATCATGACACAGATACTCAGCCTTTCTCCGACGGTTCGGAGGTATCCGGGAATAACGCTCCTGTTCCTCTTATCCGCAAACGACCCATTCCCAGCACAGGCCTCCATCGACTTTCGACTATTGCCTCCATTGAAACAATGAGTGCAGGTGATGATGGGCAATCGCAGGCGCTTGGACCTAGCTTTCTTCAAGACAAGTCCGCGCCAACACCGTCACAGACCAAAGATGATGCGGAGGAGAGAGATCAGTTTGACCCAAATTCGCTTCCAGTTGTCTCTTCTCAGTTGAAGAGGCGACTCACCACACATGATGATCTCATGTCTGTACTTTCAGTTCCAAATACGCGCAGTAGAAGCTTACGCTCTGCTCGTAGCCTACGAACGAACAAGAGCCGCGCAACTAATGCTACCGTCGCTGACCTGCTCAAGGAGTTAGCGGCCGACGAAGTGAAATACATGCGCGAGCTCAAGACTCTCGTCGGCGGCGTAATACCCGTTCTGTTGACTTGCGTCCTCTCAAGGTCAGACTCGGCTATTGCGGCGGGTCTCTTTCGACCATCAACTGATCCGAAAGACGAGCTGAACTTTACTAAGCCGATAGTCGATATGGGTGTGGCCATCGAGCGCTTGAAGACGCTGCATAAGCGAATTCCGCAAGATAACTCGGATTCCTTGCTAACTTGGGCCCAGGGAGCTCAGCGAGTCTACCGCGAATACCTTCGAGCCTGGCGATTAGGCTTCAGAGACGTTATCGTTAACTTGGCCCCTCTCGAAGAGGGCGAGGTCGCTCAGAATGCTGATACGAAGAGCTTGGATGAGGGAATGGCTCGAGACGAAAACGGTGATGTGGTCAACAGTGAAGGCGAGAAGGTGGATGTGGCTTATCTGCTCAAACGACCGCTGGTGCGACTGAAGTACCTTGCGAAGACCTTCAAGGGCATCAACATGCTCGCTCCGTCTGCTAAAGCCGAAGGAATAGCCTCGGTCTATCAGAATCTGGTCGCGGAAGCTCGTCGCCGCGCAAGAGAGGAACGAGCAAGACTTGAAGACGAATCCGCTGCCAGTATTGACTCAACTCGTGCGCGTGATCCTGCGACCCTAGGAGCCCTTGCTGATGTGACCATCGACAAGACTCGACGCGTCCGCGCTCGTGACTTCTTCAATCTGTCTCTGTATCATTCCACAGGCCAGGTCGTAGACTGTCGGGCGGAGCTTCTTTTAAGAGACAATGGCCCAGATACCGGGGCGGGCGGGGACCTGCTGATTTGTGAAATTGACCACGCGGATCGTTGGCTGCTATTCCCTCCAATGGACCTGACGTGCGTTTCTGCGCGTAATGGAGACCTTAAGGGGGAGATTGTGGTCATGTTGCGTAGCCCGCCGGGACAGACGAAAGCGTGGCAGGAGTTGTTATCGCTACGGATCGACGAGGAGGATATAGCATTTGAATGGGTTCAACTATTGGGAACGAACCCACCACCACCAGCCCTCTGTCGGACCCAGAGCTTCATTGAGAGAGCAAAGCAACGACAAAGAGCGCAAACGGCTCCTTCAAGCGATGTATCGCCGGCTCAAAAGGCGCCACCTAGTCCTACAAGTGTGGATATACCTATTGGAGAAAGGCCCACATCGCGAACCGCTCGGCGGTCTTCAACCCCTAAGGAATTCTTGTCGGAACCCAGCACTGTTTGTGGGACCACTTCAGCTATCGAGTCATCCGTCTACTCTGCAATTACTCGCGAGTCGGATTATGCTTCAACACCACAATCTACACCATCAATACTCCACGCTCGTGACCCGCGCAGGACTCCCCTAGTTGATGAAAGAGCGTCAGCAGGCCTGAAACGATCGAAGGCTAAGCGAGTTCACCGGCCTGGAGAAAGCTCCCCGTCAAGCCCGCAGAAAGATGCGCTTTCAGACAAAGAGCAGGTGTCAGCGACTCCTCGTCGGGATCGTCACGAAGATCAGAAGCCTGTCCACTCACCGCTCGTTGTTCGCGAAAAGAAGCCTTACACGGAGCAGCAATCTCCAAAATCTCCCATAAGAGACACGGTTGACCAGGTATCTCCGCGAGTATCGTCTGTGCCCTCAATGGACCTGCCCAGCATACCCAAGATCAGGAAGGGCAGTAGTCAAAGTTACATAACTGAGTCGTTGGCATCAGTATCGGACGACGAGGAGTATGCTCCTGTGGACTCGTACAGTCTACCAGGAAGCCCCTCAAAAAGCAAGGGTCACTCTCGATCGAACTCCGACTCGAGTCAAACGAACGACGAGCAGCCTCCGCCACCTCCTCCACACAGTCGTTCACCGAGCTCCACCGGGCCGAGTCTGCCGAACACCCCTGTTCTCAGTCCTACCAATGTGAGACAGAGAAGGCGCGGATCATCGCCATTGAAGCACGAATATGAGCCTTCTACAGCATCAGACACCTACTCCGATTCAGACACATCCACCGTGCGACGCTACGACATGTACTCGGATTCTGATTACACTGCGTCGGACACGTCGGATGGAGACTCTGAGGACGAGCTCGCCTCCTCCTTACCTCCCGTCGATGCACACAACCTTGCCAAATCTACCCTGGCCGCATCATCTAACAGCTCGCTATCACCCTCGAATTCTGCATCTCAGGGTGGATATAGATCCGTTCCTTCGCAGCCTACAAAATCTTCTGCTGCCGTTGCCTCTGTCTTTGCATGGTCCGAAAAAGGGACATGGGAAGCTGTAGCTCCCACGGACTGCAAGATTGTAGTCAGCCCTGGGCTCATCGAGGCGTATGAGATGAACTCCAAGGCCATGTCCGACGTGGATGCTGAAGAGCATAGAAATCAAGGACAGCTGCTAGTTGCCCTCGAGCTCACACCACTGGTGCCCATCCGGCGGGGTACCGCCATCGATATTAGCGTTCGTTCGCCTCCGACTGAGAAATCGAAGATCAATTGGAGCAACAATATCATGTTCCGTTCTCGGAATGCAGACGAGTGCGAGGCGCTGTACGGTCTCATAAATCAGGCACGTATCAACAACCCAACCTACATTGCTTTGCAAAACGCGCGTGGCCGTTTTGCGAACCAGCCCGTTCCTATGGAACGTTCAACGAAGACTGGAAGGTGGTTCGGATGGCCCCAACGCCGAAAGAGCTACCGCGCGTCGAATTCGCCTCGATCGCTAGCCGACCACTCTGAGAGCAGTGTTGGGACCATGAGTAGCGCGTTCTCGGCGTTGAAGAAATTTGGAACCGGAAGCAAGATGTTCAATCTCTCGCGCTCGTCAATCACTTCCCGGAGCGCAAAGGACGATAGCCTGCACTCAAGCTCTGCCGGCTCTGGTTCGCATCATTCATCTTCCGGCATCGGCAGAATAGCCGCTGCCATGAAGGGCGCCGATGGAATCGGCCTGTCCAACGCCAAGATCCGGTTGTACGTGCGCGAGACTCAATCGAAGTGGCGTGATATGGGCGCTGCCAGACTCACAATCATGCCCGCTCGCTCCGCACCTCGCCGCCCAGGCACGTCTGGCAGTAGACGCAGTGATACCAGCGTCGGCGCCGACGAAGGTAGCCCGCCAACCTCTGGATCCGTCTCGCCTCGGCAGGCCACCGAACTGGAGAAGCGCATCGTCGTTCGTGGCAAAACACGTGGCGAAGTACTGCTCGATGTTTGCTTGGGTGAAAGCGCTTTCGAACGTGTCGCAAGGACCGGTATTGCTGTGTCTATCCCAGAGGCTAATGACGGAGCCATGCCAAAAGAAGGTGGTGTCATAGGCAAATTTTCGAAGATATATATGATTCAGATGAAGAGTGAAGCTGAGGCAGCATACACGTTTGGACTTGTTGGAAAGCTTAGATATTAGGATGTTTGAAGTTTGAGGATATCGGATTTCTTCACTTCATCATATCAGAGATCGGATGTTTTTTTATAATAGTTTAGAGCTCTGTTCTCTACCTTGTTTCGCTTTGATGATTATTTTTGTGCGCATACCATACCCCCTTCAGTTTTTCTTTGCTTTGATTGATCGCGATTCCTTTCGCACGTGTGAGATACGAGATGATCCCAGGTAACAATTTCATAGAGATCGTGGATAATGAATATATCAACGCGATATAATGATATTTATCTAATCATATAGCCTCGAACCAATGCAAATGCTCTCTATACTTCTCTCTATGCCGCATACTGCATAGTTCTAGTCTCCTAATCTACAATCACCGGCGAGGATGGCCTCTTCCCCTTGGCCTCTGCAGTATTGGACTTTTTGAAAATGAACGAGACTCTGTTATCCTCGTCTTGGAGCAAGGGAAGAAGGACGTCGTCGTCATCAAGTGCGGCCTGCAGATCGATTACTGCTTCATCCGTCGCCGCTGATAACAAACCAGGGTCTATATGCACGTAATGGGAGAGCGATTGTTGTATCCGGCTTTGTTTGGCTGGCTCGTCGCCCGTGATGTCGCTCCCTCGTTTGCCCCTGTGGCTTCGGCTTCGGCGACCATCACGCAGGTGCGAACGAATCCGCCGCTCTTGTTCTTCCATATTGAGCTGGGACGCTTTGATGAGTGTGGGAATGTCGGGAAACTCAGTGTCCGTGTCCGAGAGGTCGCTGGACAGTGAGTCCTCAGCATCCGTGGCTGGGATGCTGGTGTCGTCGCTCGGTGGACCAGCCATCTGCCCTAATCCGCCGCAGTCGCAGCCCAGAAGCTCATGCGTCTGACAGCGGCTCGCCTCGTCGAGCCGGAAGAGATCCTTTAGCTCGTCCCTTGAGAATTGAGCCACACTGCTTTTGTGTTCCATGACACTGTCTGCCAGTCCGATCTTGGTTACCTGGCGTTGCCAGATTTTCTCCTCCAGGCTTCCCTTGAGCAAGACGCGGTAGATCCGGCAGTGTCTCTTTTGGCCGTCGCGATGGATCCGCGCCATGGCTTGTACGTCGGTTGCTGGGTTCCAGTCCACGTCGAAGAGGACAAGGCGGCTTGCGCCTATCAAATTCAGTCCGGTGCCTCCTGCTTTTGCGGAGAGGAGAAACGCGAAACAGAGATTTGGGGGTAGACGGTTGAAATCTTCTACAAGGGCCTGCCTTTTCTGCGTTGGCGTTGAGCCATCTAGTCTCAGGAACGGCAGAGAGAGCGAGGTGAGCAGGTTTGCGAGCAAATTCAGAGTCGAGGTGTAGTTCGAGACAAGGACGATCTTCTCTGATGTTGATGTGCGTAGGTTATGGAGTAACTGATCGAGTACACGTATTTTTGCGCTGCATGAAGGGGAGAAGTGGCGTAGAAGATTCGGAGGCAGGGACGATAGAAGCGCTGTGATGGTCTCGCTGGGTTTGCCGTCTCCAGTCTTAGGTGACAGTAGCGAAGGGCTGTTGCAGAGCTTTTTGAGAATGGTAATGAGCTGCAGGGCGTTTTCTGAATTGCCAATGGCACACTGGAACACTGGCGAGGCGAGCACATTTTTGTAGATATTGGCCTGTGTGGAGGTCGGGTTGCAGAACAAGACGTATTCTGTTTTCGGTGGCAGATATTTCGCCAGGATGTCGGCCGTCCTACGTAGCATGAACTTGGAAGTGAGCTCTCGCAGTTCTTCATTCCTAGCTTCGCCTTTCTCAATCTCCTTCTTGGTTGCCTCCGGCTGCCTGCTCTTCACGATAGGCCCCTCAAATTCTCTGACAAAGGCCTTGAAGTTCCCTAAAATACCTGGATTTACCAGATCCACTGCCGCAAAGAATTCCTTCAGGTCATTCTGGATTGGGGTGCCAGAAAGAATGATTCTTTTTGTGGCGTTCAGCGACTGGATAGCTTGGCCACTCTTATTCTGGAGCGTCTTCAGCCTGTGGCCCTCGTCCGCGATAATAATGTCGACTCCAGCACCTCTTGCTAGGCCTTCTTGAACGGTTCTAAGCTTCTCGTAACCCACTATCATGACACTATAGGCCCTTCCCATAGTGAAGTCGGTCAAACGCTTCCTTTTATCATCAAAGACGAATATACCGATACGCTCGTTACCCAGCCATTTCCGGAACTCCTTCCTCCAATTGTTGATTAGAGTCACCGGGCAAACGATGAGAGCTTTCTTGATCACTGGAGGGCTTTCATGGATCGGATTCTGTTTCAGCAGAGTCCAGAGCAGCGTAATCGTTTGCAAAGTCTTCCCCAAGCCCATGTCATCTGCAAGTATAGCACCTTCTCCATTGAACGATCGCATACCCATGACGCACTCGTAAAGGAATTGGACGCCCTCGCGTTGGTGCTGTCGCAGGTGTTTGGAGAGAATTGGATCGACAACGACGTCAACGATTTGCTTCCCCTTGGGCACTGAATTCGGTCGCTTCATGACCAGTGCTCCGGGTTGGTTCGGGTCATGGCGTGGAACCGGCTTCCCAACAGGCCCCGCGGGAACGACGGTGCTTTCTAGTAGCGGCCTCTTGTATGCATTGGATATAGAACTGGGTCTAGATGCCGGATTTGGTAGAGGCAAGCTGCCTGTCTTCCCACCCTGGCTCTTCTGACTTGAAGTTGTCGGGTGCGAGGTACTGCTCCGGCTCCCGAGTAACGGCATGAACGTCTTCTTCAGCGGTGCCGGTGCCGCAGCGAGGCTAGTGGTGTCTTTTCTCTCGAGAAATGGCCTTCCGGCTAGGTACTCCTTCCTAGGTATCTCCGAGTCGATCTCAACTTCTTTGCCTCCTATCGAGAGTACGGTTCCTGCTTCAAGTCGCGATCCATGCATCACCCGTCCCATATCCTTTCCCGATATGTCCTGTAAGTAGAGATACCCATCCCGGGCAGAGATAATGCCGTCCCCGTCCCACGTCTTGTTCTTCTTCGTGGACGGTTTTCGCCTATTGCAGGTGCCGGGTTAGCTTGATCATCGCTTAAATAGTGCCCGGATAGTTACCATAGCACGTTGTAGTATCTGTCCCCAAATGAATCATCACCAGTCGTGCTCTCGCTGGATGAGCTGCCTGCATTGATGACTTGCTGGAGAGGATTGCGGCTCGGCGTGTATGATCGGCCTGGCGAATCACCATGAGTAATGATTTCTGGGTCCAGACGCTGCTTCTTAGCTGGGGGTTCGCGACGTTCGGGGGCACCCTTTGCCGCGGGTGCATTAGAGACGGACGGGTTGGGCTGTTTCCTGATCAAAGGAGGTTTGAATGGCTTGAAGACCATAGTGAAATGGTCGCGAACTCGTTGCCCGTTTCTCAATCGGCGTGCTGAATGGTGAGTTATGATGTTTGTCGCGAAGCGCGAGACGCGAGGCGGAGCGCGTGGTCACGTGTACGATCTTGTATGTCCATATCGGGAGATATTGGGCCATCTATCGACTTCAGTCGATGTTTCCAGCTGTACAAGAGGATTCGCTACCGTTGTGTTAGGCGCCTCCTGTATTCGTAGTAGCCTGCTTTGAGGATTATAAGGTCGTGTGTTGACCGATATTTCCCTACCTGGAGGGCAAGATGGGTCTGAAGCCAGATGCTGCGAATATATACTTCGGTCAATCCGAACATCAAAGGAGACCGACAACAACAACCGGAAAAATCCATGAATACTAACGTTCCGGACGACAGTAACCAGCTTTTTAATATTCCAAAGAAATCAAGATCAAGGACACCAGATGGCTACATATAGTAAAGAGACATCGCGTCCAACCAAACACAACCGATGACCTATCGCAGGTTGGTGCTAGATCTATGCAGAATTCTGTCTTATGTTTTCGTAAATCTAAGCGCATTCTCAATAAGAGGCCGTTTTTGGTAGTTGGTTATCAACGTATCGTTAACACCGATAAGGTCGCCGATCGAGCCCGGCACTGGTCATTTCAAATTTCCTTTTTTGCTCTCTATTATCAGAGCGCAAACTTAGCCAGCGACAGCGATGGCGGTCTTTTTGTCACTTTCTAACACCTTCCTGAAGTGTGGTGCAGCATGCTGCGCTGACCCAAATCGAGTACTGATGCAGTCGCTCTGTAAACCAAGCCCGCAACTACCTGCCGCAGCTAGTATCCTGCTGAGCGAATTATCCAATAAAACTACACAAGGCTACACAAGGAAATCATGACAGTATATTGGATTACTGATATGACCGGAGACGACTATATGATCAAACCGAGGACCTGCCCAAGATCGATCCAGCGAGCCAGACTGCAGCGCATGCGCCCAGAACAGATGCTCCAACGAGCCGCTTTTCCCAAGAAGATTCAGCAGCCATGCGTACTGGCACGACATTTCCAGTCTTTGTAGATTGAGAGGATGGAAGTGCATCGGTGTTGTTCTCATGAAGTGGCTCCCTACGAGATGCAAAGTCCCGATCACGCTTGCGCCATTTTTCCACCAGTCTAGCGATCTCAACGAGATCATCCTTTAAAGAGCCTGGCTCGGTGGCATTCGCATGCTCGACTTCGACATTTTGAACATTACCGAAGAAGTCCACCACTGTTCTCAGGCGCCCCTCCTGCTCCCCGCCGGGAAAGAGGTCCCACCGAACACCCGGTTGCGAATGGATCTTCGACTCGTCGTACGAGTCGAACAAATCTCCCAGCGTCGCCTTCGAATTGGCACTTGTCACTTGAGTCTCTAAAAATTCCAGCACATAGTATGTCCAACGGTCGATCACCGCAACACCGACATCGTTATCCGCATGATGAGAGTAAGAGGACTGATCCAGCGCACTGGATCCTGTCGCGATAATATTTGGCGAGTAGAAGTGGGTGTACATAGTATTAGCCTGGCAAGTATCAATCATGAATAGCAGCTCATGATAACGCTTCTTCTCCCACATCTGGCCGAACGCATCCGCCAGGTCCCAGGCGCCAATCTCCTCTGAGTCTTGGAACTTTAAAAACTGATCGCCTCCGTGTCCGGTC